CAAAATTCAAAAAAAAAAAATACAAACATTTCTTCTTTTTATGCCAATAGATGTCACTCTCATTTCCTTTAAAGAATATGCAAAATAGAAAATAAATAAATAAATTTTTCATCACAAAAAAAAAACCAAAAAGGGAAAACAAATTCCTTTTCGATATCGATAGTCAGGGACAACATAAAAGAATGGGGAAACCTTAAATTTGATTATTTATCATTATTATATTTGAAATTCAAATATTTTGACAGCAGAATAAATTGATCTTCTTTGATCGAATTCGAATTATCAAATTTGAATTCACGTCATACTTAATTATAGCATTGCATTAAAGGGCATGATAACGTTCTAAAACTACAATATATAAGAATGTATAAAACTCCCTATAACATCAGACTACAGCAATATGAACAGGTGACAACTAAAGTTATGCACATAATATTCTAGTAGATGACGTTATAATTGAACTTTGTTCCTATATGTGACAATAAGTCTCAAAAAGTACTCCTTTTTTAGACAATATCCATCGCAATTATAGCGTTCCAGGTACAATATAAATATTATATTTATAGGCAGGTACAATATAAATATTTCTTATTACTCTAGAGCAGTTTGTGTTGCGCTATTTCTGTAAAAAGAACACACCATGCTTTAAAATTTCTTTTAAAATAAATTTTTCATATTTCATGTTTTTCATAAAAACATGAAATATGATGCTTTCTTTTTAGTCAACTTATTTTTTTTTAATTGGTGTGAAAAGAAAACTTCCTTTTATTCGGAATAAAATACTTTTATTTTTCGCTAATATATTAATACTATCAGCTTTGATAAAGTGCGTATGAAGCGCACGAAATATATTAGCGAAAAATAAAAGTATTTTATTCCGAATAAAAGGAAGTTTTCTTTTCACACCAATTAAAAAAAATTATATTTCGGAAAAATTATCAACCATTGAAAAAAAAAAAAATTTTTTTGAATTAGTCAACTTAATTTATTTTGATTCTTTGCTGTTGAATCCGATTTTCTAAGATTGAAAGTAGTACTAACTCACAGAACATAATGGTATATATTTAAAAAATTCAGTGGAAAAAAATCTTAATAAAGATCTTAATTGTAAATTTTTTGTAAAAAAAAATATGAAAGATGAAATTGTATCGCTCAATGATTTGAAACCTTAAAAACAAACATAATTCTAAAGATAGTGTGCTTTTCGAAAATCGATTTACGAGTACATTCGATTCTTATCTGAAATTTTCAGGTATCTTAATTACTGCTTTCCTTAAATCAAACAATATAAAAACATTAATTCAAATTTAGTAATATAATGGCAATTATGAACAAAACAAGTATAATTAAGCGCCATTCCTAAAATAAAGCTTTTAAACACAAATTTTATTTAAATATAAATACAGCTAGTAAGTAGCAGAATATGGTGGAACATGGCGGCATTGCTATAGGGACAAACGATATTTTTGAAATTGTCAATTTCTGGAATGATAGGACTGGATTAATTTCTCATATTTATAAGCTCTTCTATATAAACATGAATGACTACATAACATAAAACTCACAGCATTTATCAGAAATATTTCTTCATTTTAAAATTATTATAGAATTTTTCGTCATTTTTTTATTTATTTCGCAAACATTGGAATCGTATGCTTCCTTTGCCTTTGCAATTTTTTTTATTGTTTTTGTACATAAGTAGGTGTATTTTTTTCTTAAACGAAAATAAAAATCCTTGTAAATTTTCCACTTTTCTTTTTTTTGGGTTTATTTGTGCAAGGTAACAAAAATATGCTTACATATTTCATATATAAAAAGAAACTTGTTTTATTTATTTTTGTTTTTGGCACATTTCGTGGCAGGTCCTTTTTTGATTCCTTCTTATTGGATTGGTGTTTTTTTTTTCGACTGTTTTCTTCACTCTTATCTTCAGTCTTATTTGTTGTCTTCCTGTTACATGTTTATTTTTTATTTGTTTCATGCTTTTATGATTGGATTTTACAAAATTTGTTTTTCTTGTTTTTAAAGTGATTTTTTTATGAGTCATACATTATACACATGTGTGAAAATAATATATGAAAAATATTGCAAAAAGGATGTGAATTTTACTTGTATGATAAAAATATTATTAGGAGGAGTAAACATTTTACAATTTTGTAGTCAATTGTATAATGTTGAAGATTTCAAAACAAAAATTATACTAAAACTTCTATTTTCATAATCTTAAGCCGCACCTAATAAAATAATTTTGGAAGATCATCGAATTTCTAGAGGATCTTATCTTTCAAATTAAAAAGATACTGTAAGACTGATTCTGGTAAGAAAAATTGTTTCCCAGAAACCAAGAACCTAATAGATTCAATAAAATGTCGCCGAATTTTTTTTGCAACGTTTTTATAATGAGTAAATAAAAAGCAAAAATGCTTTCAATCAAATTCGAAAATCAGTAGAATTTTGTGTACTAAATACAAGCGCGTTCAAAATATTGCGTACCCGTGGTTTCTTAAAATTTATAGGTATCCCAAATTAAGTATGTCAAAGCTGTGCATATTATTACCAAGTATAAAAGGTTTGCAAATAGACAGTAATACGTTCGAATAAAAGTGAGTAAAGTAGAAAATAGTTTGTAAATGTAATTTACAAATCGAAAAAATGTGCAAGCATGAGCGAAGTAATTTTGAAGCACGAAAACACAATATACCGTTGAAAAAAAACAATACACAAAAACCAGTTAAGTTGGGTATTTTATTAATAGACAAACTTTGTTAATTAGCGGCATTTAATTGTAGAACAGTGTCCGCTGTTTTTCTCACACCTTCCCTATGTTTTTAGGATTTTAGAGCTGACACATAAAAAGTTTTTAGTTTAATTAAAATCTATAATTATACCATTGGTCAAAAGAACTTTTTCCAGTAACCATTTTTTGAGGTTTTTGTGAAAAGCCTGAGGTCCCTGAGCAAAGGTTCTAGAGTTCTTTAATACCTTGCAATGCTATCATGTTATATTTTTGTTAATTTTTTGGAAGTCGTCTTTAAAACTTTATTGAAGCAGCACTTGTTCTCTGCGATACCAAAACCAAAATAATTGGCTTTTGACTATGACCAATAAAAGCTGCAGGTCTTATTAGTGGCACAACAGGTACGTTCGTAGCACTGCAGTCGTACCATAGCCTCCAGTGATGACACTGTAGCTATCGTTGGTGACAGTGCGTTTTTCAGCGTTCAATCTTTGTTGTTGCTGTTGTTGGTATTTTTGATTTTTGGTTTTAGTGTACTTCATGTTGTAAGCAAAGTACCTATATCTATTAATAAGTAGTTCGACTCTCCGTTTACATCATACTAATGCAATCACTCACCAATATTTGTATACAAAAAATTCCCTTGGCTAAAAGAGTTAAGCAGTATACCTTCTTGTTTTCATTTTTATACACATAAGATTTTTGGGAAAGGTAAAAAGTACGCAATAGATGTCTACCCGTTTTTTTGTAATATATTTTTAAAAGCGGGAGTTTTCTTCCGGTAATAGGCATTTTTATTTATAAATTACTTAATTTCTATGCCTGGTCTATGTTTGTACACTTTATTATACTGTCTATGTTTTCTCAAGCTATGTTTGTACTATGTTAGCTTAAAAGCCCAAAAACGACGGTTAGCTATTAAGTTTCAAATCATTATTAACATTTCAAGGCAAGTAAGCAACTTGAGTGAAGCCGGCTTCAGGTCAGGTAACGTTTATATAGACAATAATGAGCTTGAAGCAGCCACATATTGCTACATCATATTGTGTATCTACCTTGAATAGGTATGTTCCGTATAACAAAGTATGAAATTTTAAATTTATAACTATTATTTTCATACATTTGAATGTTTTTACCTAAGTTTTGAAATGAAAAATAAAATTGTACATATAAAAAAAAATGTTGTTATCAAAATAAAAATAAAATTTTTACCAAACTTAATTTAATTTTATTTCAGTTCAATGTTTTTGATACACTCGTTTGTTTACAATATTTTCTTTCTTTTTTATCTACACGACTCTTAATACCATCTATTTCTTAATAAAAATGGAATATTTTGAGAATTTCGAAGTGTCAAGCAAGCGGAAATTAACGGCTTTGGAACGAGTACATCTACTTCTTACATAGATATATTTTGATATGTTTATGCATACATTTCACATAAGTATGTATGTACTTATTGGCATACATGAGTATGCCAATAAGTACATACATACGTAAATATGTTGCTTATTTTATTTTTTATTACTCTATCAATTCAATTGCCAAAATTTACCTCTTACTTACATATACATATTTATTTGTGTTAATACGGTAACATACAATCGTTATCATATAATATAAAAGCATGTTTTTATATAACTATATATGTATGTTTGTGCATTATATTCTATAAGCAGATTATAAATTATGCTAGTCACTATTTCTTTACAAAATATTTTCACAAACACATACATTGTTCTTCAACCTTATTTAGGTACACTTCATAATTCATATGTGTTGTTTTTCATACGTTTGTACCAGAATATAAAATTTTCTATTTATTTGTATTTGTATGGAGTACAGTTGTGCTGTGTCTGTAAATAGTAGTGCTCTTAACAAATATAGAGCTGAAAAAAACAAAAACAAAAATATTCAATGTGTTATTTATTTAAAATGTACGTGGGAATGAAATTTAATTCAAAGAGAGAATCTCTATTACAAATTTTCTCTCTACACTAATATTCGTTTAAGAGCACACTCAATAAGAGCACGAAGTAAACTTTCATATTGTGAACATCGCATATAATTGTGATGTGTTATGTATACATTAAAGAAACAGAACGTAAACGAAAATGAAACAAATTTTGTTGATGAGTTTTCAAAATATTTCATTTCAAATTTTCGTGAGAGATTTGAGAATAATAAAAGGAGAGAAATTTCTCCAGTTAGTTGACGTCTGCGTTAGCGAGTTGACAGTTGTTGTATCGGCAATAAAGAGATTTTATAATTATTTGGAAAAATTAAAACAACTTTTGGAAATAAATTTATAAAATATCATTAAAAGATTAACGAAAAAATATGGAATATCAAGATGAGAGTATGGACTGTGAAGATAAAAATATAGAAGATGACATAAATGAAAACGAGGATCAAAATGCAATGTATTCAGAACTAAATTCTGCAACTAAAAAAAGATTGCATTCTTTAAATTTAATGCAAAAAGTGCAGTTAATTGATAGAATTCATGCTGGAGCGAAAAGAAAGGAAGTAGCTAAAGAATATGGCATCAACAGATGTACGGTATCAAGAATTATGAAACAAGAAAGTAAAATTAAAAGCATGATTTCACAAAACCGATGTACTTCGAGGAAAAAATTAAGATCAGGTAAATAAATTTTAGTAAATTTTTATTTTAGTAAGAAATGGCATGAATTCTAAATATGTCTTTCATTATTGGTTAATTGCTTCTTTTAGGTAAACATGAACTAGTTGACGATGCTCTTTTTTTATGGTACCATCAAATGAGAAGTAAAAATGTAGTGTTAAGTGGCTCATTATTCATAAAGCAAGCAATTATATTTTCGAATAAATTGAAATTAGATTTTGAACCAAGTAATGGATGGTTTGAACGTTGGAAAAAAAGAAATAACGTATCGTTTAAAACATCTCCAAAAGATTTTTTAAATTATGTTTTTTTAAATGATGATACTCAAAGATTGGCAGCTATTCTTAAAGTTCTAGAAAAGTTTAACCCCACGAATATATTTAATGCTGACGAAACAGCACTATTTTATAAGGCTGTTCCAAACCATACAGGATCTAACACCAATCAATCGAGAATTATTATTAACAATAAAGAACGGTTTACAGTTTTCCTAATGACCAATATGAATGGTTCTGAAAGAAAGGCATATGTTATTGGTAGAATAAAAGAACCACCTTGTTTCATTGGAAAACATGTTCCATTACCATATTATTCAAATTGCAAAGCATGGATGACAAGCAACATTTGGATGACCATATTAAAAGATTTAGATAAGGAAATGTCGTTACAAAATCGAAGAATAGTATTATTTGTTGATGACGCTGAGTGTCATAAAATAAAAGATGAAACAGTATTTCTAAGCAATATTGAATTGTTATACTTCCCAAAAAATGCTAAACAAAACTTACAACCACTTACTGGTTTAATAAGAGTATTCAAAGCATATTATCGCCAACATATTATAAAAAAACAGTTAGCGTCGTTCGACAGAGATATTCCAATTGAAAAATTTTTGAAAACAATTGATTTGTTAGCTGCAATCTCAATGATCCGTGATACATGGTTATGTCTTCAAACATCTATTATTAAAAAATCCTTTCACAAATGTGGTTTTATATTTCCAAAAAGTAATTCCAATACTTGTGAAAAAATTACATTTAAAAGCGAAATAACATCAAATGATGGAGACCAAGAAATAGGCGCAGATAATGTGTTTTTTATTGAAGTAAGTAAAGAATTAAACCATTTAAATATAAAAGAAGAACAAGTTGATATTGTGGATTTGCACCAACAACAAAAAGAAGATGATGAAAATTTTGAACAAAATGAATATATAGAAGTTCCCGAAATGGCACAATTAAATTTCATGGAATTTTTGGATATTGATTCAAAACAAAAATGCTTTGGTGATTTGGATGATGATGAGATTTTAATTGAATGCAAAAATCCAAATGGATATTTTGATTCTGATCCTGTTTCTGATGATGTTGAACTTGAAGATATGAATCGTCAAATAACTAAAAAGGAAATTTTGTTGTCATTAGATACTTTAAAAGATTATCTAAAACAAAATAAATCTAATATGGTGATTTTTGAAGAATTAGAAGAACAAATCTTACAATTGACCACATCAAAATCACAAACGGTTAAAATTTGTTTAGATAAATTATAATACAAAAATAAAACAACTAAATTAACATAAAATATGCCTATATGTATTATATATTACTATACTGGTACGGTTTTCATACTGAGTCTCAATTTTCTAAAAAAAGAAAGTTAATAAAGTAAGAGTAATTCCTACTTATTCTGAAATAGTTGAATATGAAGCTAGTTAAGTTTTCTTTCAAAATATTATTACATCTTTTGCAATTACGAGTAATGGTAAATTCTTAAACGTCAAATTTTACAAAATCTGAGTTGTCTGAGTTTACGAATACTCTACTGTGTTTTTACTTTCAGTCAAAGTTTAAATTCTTGAACGTTTAAAAAAAAGTCAATTAAGCGTCAAAATTGTAGATTTCATTCATAAATAAATTCAATTCAGTAAATAAATTTGATGTATTGAGTGACTATAATTACGTTAAAAATAATATATAAAATATTTTTTTTGTTAATTTTTAATATGTAAGTAAAAAATTATTTTAAATCTAAAAAAAATTTTTTTTGTATTGAAGTTTACTGATGATCAAAATTCAAAGTCAATTACGGGTAAAAAGTTAACTACATTTCTGTCCGTAAAAGTTTTATACGTCAGACAGTTTGCAGACTGAAAACAAAATTTTGACGTTAAAGAATTTGCGGTAATTATAACTTTACGCAATTATGAATATATACACAGTGCACAGCGTATATATTTTTAGCAAAATATTTACATAATGCTACATACATATACAGCCAGACGCGCGTCGCATGTGTGAGATGGCAGATTTTTCTACTAGACGCGCGTCTCACTATCTGTCACAAAAAGCCTCCATAATGTTATTCTGTTAGACGCATTTTTTACAAATTTTCACATTTAATTACGTATATTTTGTTGTGGACAGACATATGAAATATGCTGAAAAATAAATTTTGAAGAAAATGGAGAAGATGTAAGTAATTTCAGTGTTTGGTTACTTTTAATCGGCAGCAATTTCAAATTTTTTATCGAGTCAATGGAAAATTCCTTTTCTTAACTTTCTTCATAATTTTTTCCTCTACTTTTAACCGGTAATCAAAAAAAGTTCGAAGAAACCTTTCGCTCTCTAATTTACTATTTTGTTATTTTTGTAGTATTTTCTGTAACCAGTTTACTTAAAAACAATTTTCTAACTTTTGAACACTAAAAAATTTCGAGTCTCGCTTCTTCTCTCACATCACGTTTCCGTTTTGTATTGTACGTTTAGTACAATCATCATTGAAGATCATCATTGAAGATACCTGTGTTAAGTTATTGTCAATTATACAAAGTAGAAGCACTCACATACATACGTACGTATTATATAAAAATCAATTTTAAAGTTGGTTTGAAGTAACCTTGAAAAGTTAAGTGTAGTATATTTAAAATTCGGCAACACTCAATATTTTAAAGTTAAGTGTTAAATAATATTTATACTGTGTATATCAGACATAAATTCAAAATTTATTCGATAAGACAAGTTTGAAATTAATGTTTTGGTTGTAGATATGAGGGTTATTAAATATTTATGTGAATAACGTAACATCAATGATTCAAAAAGATCAAATTGATTTATTGCTAATAACTACAAAGCTTTTATATACATTTACGAAGTTGTCATACAATTAAATCTAGTTCATAGTTCTCCTATATTTGACATAAGTTTCTCAATGTCTTAAGTTGTTTAATGCTTAAAATAGTAATAATCTAAAAGTGATTAATCTTAAAACTGAATTTCTCTGGAAATCAGTTTGTGATTTTTCCTTGAGAATCGGGAGATTTTCGATAATTGAGTTCTAACTTAGTTAGAATAATTGAGTGATTAGATAATTGAGTTAAATCAAAGAATTTCTCCTACAAAAACGCATGTTTGAAGTCAGAGTTGCTCCTAAAACTAAAAAAGATACAAATGAGTTAACTAAGTATGACAGTTGTCTTTAAAAGGAATTTTTTAAGCTTTTTTATGAATACTTTTTTTGTAAAAATACAAAAACCTAAAGAGTATGTGTAAGAGACTTTGAAAATTTAATTTAGAACTTTCGATGCATGTTTGAGTTAAAGACAATTCCCTAAAAATTTAGTTAAGGAACTACAGATTTTGTATGAAATTAAATTTAATGACATTATTTTACTCAATATAAGGTTGCTGTAAAAATTATATTATAATTTATTTTATATTCGTTCTAAATAAATTTGTTATAAAAGTTTTAAATATTCAAAAATTTTAAAGTAAAATAATAAAAAAAACAAATTTAATTTTCACCTCTTTTTTAAATCAATTACAAAATAAAGAAATAACCTCATACTTTTAATGCATACGTCATAATTTTATACGTAACTATAATTTCGCAACAATTACTGTACACTACACAAACCACTACATGTAGATAATGTACGTACAATGATGGTCTAGAACGAAATAATACACTATTCTTCTAAAAACCAAAAACTTCACATTTTATGTGGTGTTTTTATAAACCGACAAAAAAAACTATAATAAAATTTAGGTTAAATGTACAAATATGAAAAGTAAAAATTATATACATACCATGTACAAAATATAAATTTATAGTATAATTTAATTTCAAGTTCATCATAACTATTAAAATTTAATAATGTGGTTTGTTATTACTCGTGTTATATTTAAAATAAGGATACGAATATTAATATAAAATGTTTACAAATTTTTATTATGCATCCTTTTCCAAAAGTTTATATTCCTATAATTATGTAGAGTTTATGATTAGATTGGTTTCAAAGTTTCCGTTTAGTTAAAATGGAGTTGAAATTACTACACGATATTAAAGTTATTAGAATATTTTAATTTGAATTTTGGTACGTTTTTCCCAGCGGAAATGAAAACATTATTAAAAAGTTTAATATTTTGAGATGGTTTGGCTAATACGCCGAAAAATTGTTGATCTAAATAGATGATAAATGCTTGAAGATCTAATAGACGTCAAAAATTTGTTTTAAAACACAATTTACCAAATACTCTTATATTTAAAAAAATTTCATTCACATGAAGATTGAACTGGATAGTATGTTTCGAGTAATAATTTGAAAATATAACGCGGGTATAATAAATTTTCTATAGGGAAAATTTACAAACCTTTAAATTGAACATTCGATTCCCGTTATGCGGAATAAAAACTAACTGAAATTAACTAATCAAATGATTTGTTGAATATTTGGAATGAATATATTTATAATAATGTTATTTAAAAATGACGCAAAATACTTTCATTCTCAGATACGACAACCAAAAAAGTAATAAGCAATAACCAAATAACTCTATATAAGTAGAAGTACAATCGCATACTTTCGAATTAAAAGCAAGAAAAAGCGCTTTGCAAGTGAGCACATTTTTATTTAAAAAAATTCTGATGTGATCAGCAAGTAACCGACCGAAGTAATGTTGATTTGTCTCTTAGTAGAGGCTTTATGCCATCTAACAGAACTTATATATTAAAGTTCAAGAAATTCCATCATTGTTATAACATCCTGTAATTGAAATATTAAATTACAAAATAATTGCTTGATTATTTCTCTTTACATGCGCAAAGGTGTAAACTTGGTTCGTAGTAAAACTCCAGTCACTGTCACCAGATTTCTTTCAAAAGTAAGGTGGTTTCTTGTACTATTAAATGAAGCTTATATATAAAATTTCAAAAAAAGATCTGTCGTATATTTTCTCAAAAATGACCAAAAATATAAAATTGGGCCACGGTAAAAAATTCAATTCGCAGGATAATCAAAGTTAACTCAAATATGAATTTTTATGAAAATCGGGTCAATCGAAGTTGAAATACAGATCTGCACAAACAAACCGACAGACAATTTGGTGCCATCACCTATCTTATTAAGATATAAGAACTGAAACTACCTTTATTTATGATTTCCTCTAACATAATTCAAAGAAAAAAGTTATGAGAATTTTAATAACATCCACAATAGGGTACTGCTTTTTACAAGTTTTAATTTATAGCAACATTTCTCTTTAAAATTTATTAAAATAATTAGTAGATTTCTTGATTCAAAGAGGTAATGAATAAGAGTTAGGTGTTAAAAAATCTAAATTAAAAATATTTCGACAGACAAACAAAAATAATCGATTTTTTTCCGAATATTTTGAAAATATGCTTACAATTTATTATTAATAAGTTTTATGAATAAAGAATTCACAAAAAAAAATCTCCACACATGATTATATCTGAACAAATGCGCATACATTATGTACATATATGTACTCGTATATGTACAATACAAACATACACACATAACCATAATCATCCTCATCATTTTTAAATATCCTGTAATGATTTAACAATAAAAATTCATATACATATGTATATACATACATATATACATAGTCGAAAATACAATATAATCAATTTACTTATGAATTGTACACTATAATATTTTTGGTTTTGTGAAATTTATTTAATACGATTACTCGACAGTGACGTTCTCATCGGGGTAGATTGTAGATTGTAGATTCTAAGGGAACTGAGTGGGGACAGGAGCATCCCCCAAGCCACCGCAGCCATTTTTGACTTATTGTAGCCACCCCACTCTCCCGTCTATAATATCCCCGTCCCAATCACAAAGCCGGAGATATCCCTAAGGGAGTTGGACAATAGTTCCCGAACACTTAGGGACCCATGTCCAAGACAATTGCGGCGCCGAACAGCCAGTGCCGGACAGTCGCAGAGAATGTGCACGGCGGTCTCATCGCCACCCCCACAAAATCTGCACAGGGGGGAGCCCGACTTCCCCAGCCTGTGCAGGTGGTATTTCACCGGGCAGTGCCCCGTGAAGAAATTCGCAATAGTGCGAACCCGGCTCCTGCTCATCCCCAGCAACTCCGCAGCGAATCCGCCGGAGCACGCCGGAACAAACACCTTCGCATGACGGCACCCTTTCGTGTCCCGCCAGTGACGACTGCATTCCGCCGCGAGTAGGCAGGCAAGCCTGGCCCCCACGGCGGAAGAAGGCAGACCACAGAAAGG